AAAGCACCACGGCAGCAGCAGCCACTCCCTCGTGCGGCACAACAAGCACCACCGCTGGCATGGGTGACACGGCGGTGGCCAAGCCCACCTTGTCCTCCTCCACACTGAGGGGCACCACAAGGGCCACTCCACCTCCCCAGGCAGGAAGGAGCAGGAAGCCAAATTACACTGCAGCTGGCCCAAAGCTACCAAGCTGTTGGCCAGGTCCCTTCTCTCCCTGCTGGCAGCCCAGTCCAGCTTTGTGGACCCCTGCCAACCCATGCCCTGCACTCCTGCCAGCCTACTCTGGGCTCCACCAGTGCTGGCTGGGCAAGACACCGGCACAGACCCTCCACTCGGCTCACCTCCACTCTCTGCCGCCACTTTCCTGCATACCCACTGGCTGTTCTGCATCCCGTGGCTCCCACACCCACAATACCATACCCACACATACATCCACACATCCCTACAAACCCCCATTCCCACCCACCCACAGCTTCCCACAAACCTCACACCCACCCCACACCTCCCTCCCCCCCTGCACACCCCACACAATGTACAAGTAAGACCGCATTTTGCAGCTATTATGCAAATCACTTCTACATATACAGCACAAATGCACACAAATCAGAACTTTTTTTTAATTAAATTAAAATATATTATTATGGGTGCTTGATTTTTAGTATACAATTTGTTTTTGGTTTTTCCCCTAAGATGGCAAACCCTTTTCCCCAAAGGAACACTGCCAGGGGCAAGGGGAGGGACTTCCGGTGGCAAAGGTCAGAGGTTAGGGGGGGAACTTCTGGCTCCAAGATGGCAACCAGGGGACAGGGCACCTGTCAAGGGGCAGGGCTACCCACGCAGCCCGCAGCAGCTTGCTAAAACTCAGTAAGCGCCCTTCTGCCCGAAATAATTGCCTGCCTCTGTAATGGACACTAGCAACAGCAAACTCCAAGTTCACGTTCTTCAGTCCAGGAAGAAAAGTTTAGTTAGAGGCTGTGCCCTAAAATGGGACATTCAGTGACAGCAATACATTCCCACTGGGTATGGACAACTATACATTAGCAGTGGCTTCAAAAAGGGAGGGGATGAAAGCTGCTGCCTAAGGGTGCATCCCCACGAGCAGGAACATTTGTTCCCCAAGGACAAACAGCAGTGGCACATATTTGTGCCACTGCTAGTTGTCCCCAGGGAACACCCCTTCTAGCATGTGGCAAAGCTTTCCCAAGTGGGGTAGGAGAGACTGGAGCCAGCACATAGGCTGGCCCCAGCAGCCTTAATTGGGGTCCTGGGGGCCTCCCAGGTCTCCAGCAGTGACAATCCAGGCAGACGGAGCCTGGCTGGTCAGGCTCTGGTTTTGGGCAGCACACACTGCAGCCACATGCACTGCTCCACTTTTTTCTGGCACAGGCTTTTTTGACACCAGGATTTCCCGGTATCAAAAAAAACCTGCTGAGCTGCAAATCTGCAGTGTGGTTAACGCCTGCATGTGAAATGCATGTGGTCTGCAGCACAAGCCACACATGAACACTCAACTGGATGCACGCTACAAGGCTGTGCTATAAACTTAAATCTATATCAGTATAGGCTCATGCAGATGCATCTCCGTCTAGGAATTTCTTCTTCCTTGACTAAATAACTTGGATTGTTTAGGGTCCACAACAGGGCTTCTCTTCTGTTGACTCAACCTAAGACTAGTGTAATTAACTGGCTACTAAATTCTAGAGCCCTTACACAGTCCTACTTACTATATCGGTTCTATCATAACAGCAAAGTGCTGAATTAGCTTTCATTTCTTCTCTTTTTCTATAATGGGATTATGCAGGTGCCTGGATTTAAAATTTGCATTTACAATTATATATGTTGTAACTACTGTGTCTGTTAAATGAAGTTTAATTCTTCTAAAAACCTCAGAATCCTTCCAAGGTCATATAGATGGGAGTCCCAGAAAGATCAAGTTACTCACCCAAGCTGACACAATGGTGTCAACAGTACAATCAAAAGGGACAGAAGAAACATACCATTACAATTCATTGCCCTATATTCTACTGATAAATTATTTTAAATTTGAGCAGTACAGCCATGTCCAGATGAGTGCGGACATTTCACATGTGCTTGTATCACATGTGCTCTGGTGCACAGTAGGTTATCCCGGGTGGGGTAAGGGAAGGCTGGGGCGAGCAACTGTGCTGGCCCCAGCTGCCTTACCTGGGGTCCTTGGGGAGCTGCAGCAGTGGTGCTCCTGCAGCTGGGAACCTGGTCAGCAGCTGAAGCATGGCTCCAGCCAGCAATTCTCTGGTTTTGGGTGGTATACATTGCTGCCACATGCACCACCCACTTTTTTTTAAGCGTGGGTATTTTTTTACCCCAGGATCCCATCAAAACCACCCCCTGCACTGCAAGGTAGCAGCGCAGCTTGCATGCGCGGTGTGTGGCATTGCAGATGGGTCTAGGGTACCACATACCACACATCTGTGCTCATCTGGACGTGGCCTAAGAGAGAAAGTAATAACAGAACAGCAGTGAACCAAAACCACCCTTCCAGATAAGGACAGAAATAAAAGAAAAACACCGCTTCAATTTGGGTTTTCTCCCTATCCTCCAAAACAGGGGTTTTCAACCTTTTTAAACTAGTGTACCCTTTTTGGTGGTGGCAGCTGCACGTGCGGCTTCATTAGCTGCTGATGGACAGCGTGCAATTGCAGCCGGCCATGTGCAAGCCCCTGCCCCCCACAATGTCTAGCCAGCTGGGTGGTGCCTGTGCGGCCCAGAGAGGTACCGATGCCCTTGCCCCACCCCGGCCCTTCTCCTGGAAAGGGACAGCACAGGGTGGCGGGTGGCTGCAGCTGTTGCCATGTGCAAACCCCCCGCCCCGCCCCATGTCTGTCTGCAGAGAGGCACCTCCTCGCCCTCAGCTATTGGCCAAAGGAGGCAGCCCAGAAGCCAATCAGGAGAGCGAGCTAGAGTGGAGGGCAGGGAGGTGCCACGGTGCGCTGAGTGAGACTGGTGCCCCTCCCCTGGATAAGAGCCTTGCATACCCCCTGTGACCTTTCCAAGTACCCCTAGGGATACATGTACCCCTGATTGACAACCCCTGCCCCAAAAGATGTTTTCACATCTTTATATTACTGAAAATAAACCTAAAAACATTTGTGTACCTCTTTTCTTAAATCAGTAATATCAAACTCACTCAGTGCCCTGGAGCTGGATTCAGACGATGGGGGTCGCTGTGGGCTGGGTACAGATGCCACCATCATTAACCCCTACCACCGACATGCATCCTGAATTCATGAGGGGGCAGCAACTAGAATTAATTATGCAGGTCATCTCAAGCAAGTGATATCACCAATACATATATGGTACATGGAGACTGTGACCAAAATATAGGAGAAAGAAAAAAAACAAACTGCAACAAGAAAACAAATTTCTTTCTTCCCAACACTCATTGCTAAGCATAGAGCACAACACAAAGCCTGTTTTTTGTTAAAAGTTTTAATGTAACTCCCAAATACATTTGATATGACAATCTTACAGAAATCTTTCAAAACACATGGGCATTATCTGGTTTTACTTGTCACTAGTTTACTAAGGCTTAAAGCAGAAAGTGTAATAAAATTCAGCTCTGGCTTAACTACATCTTGCTGGACAGGGCTTGAAATTAACTTCTGGCCAATTAATTAATTGTTTATAGACCATCATGTTTTGGATAAATATGAAATATTTTCTTCTTTACTATAAACATATATGCAAGGCTTCCAGCTGGAATCAAATTTGACCAGTAAATAGCTACCAGATTAAGAATTACTTCTGTGGGTAATTGGGTAACACCACTACACCCCAAGAAACAAGCATGTCTACTCCATTCTTCTCAATCTTGATGCCTTGTCAATTTCACATGAAGGTGAAGCACCAGGAAGTGGTACTGTACACACACACATACACACACACACACACGCACGCACGCACACACACACACACACGTCTGAAAGGAATGGAGCCTGCAACTAGAACACACCTGGTTTTCCACAATTAGGTCCTGCTGACAAAGACCCTTTATCAACTTTTTAATAACCTTTAGACTGAAAATGAGAAGCTTTACATCAAAAGTTTGTTTGAAAAGAGTTGTTTAAATTCCTCTGAATATCAATGTAAAAAGGTCCGAAATATGCAGATTACTTGATGCACAACCAAAAGGTTCCAAAATTCACGGTGCAGAAAAAACACTTGTGGGTGAGTAGAAATCTGCCAAATTTCTGTTACTGAGCAGCATGAAAAACTGCACCTCAACTGGATTGTGCATGGCAAAAAGCACAACTCCCTCCATAGAGAAAAAACAAATTCAGAGACTGCATGAGCAGACAGTCCAGAGGGGTCACAAATGCAATGGCACAGCTAATCATGAGCCCTTTCCACTCCCAAAACAAGTAACTGAAGGGGTCCTTTTATGAGCAGTCAGGAAAATAAGCAATTAATCTCTAGCAACAGTTGGACAACAGAAAAAATACAAAGAGAAGCTAAATGGGTTCTGGACTCCTAACTGTATACGTATCTTTTTTTCATTTATATAAAAGCAAGAAGGGATCCTGTGCAATTTGAACAGTATTCAACTTGCTTGTGTGCTACAACTCAGGTTTTAATTTTCAACATTGGCAGCATTAAAAAGTTTTCTTCCTCATGTTTCACTTTTAGATGCATTTTCGTTCTTCCAAACTTGAAACAAAGTTTGTACAAAAGTGGTAAGCAAACCAAAAGATCACCATCAAGGGATTCATTTATAAAGAAAAAATAAAAGGGGATACACACAGGAAAGTGGCTACAAAACTACTCTTCACTGGCTATGCAAGTCCAATTTTTCTGGGTAATTTTGAGAATATCAATTCAGTTAATAAAAATTTCTTGGGAGTTTTACAGAAGAGGCCCAAAAGGTCAAATAGTGGCCAAAACAAAATGAGTTGTGTTTAAAATAGGAACCCTTCAGAATTACTGACAGCGCCATTTTCTTGCCTTTATTTGGCTGAGTGGGATGGGTCTTTCAGCCCAAACTAATAAAAACTGGCAATATAGTTCATCTTTCATGCTGCATAACTTAAAAGGAAAAAAAGTGGGAAAAAAGATGGGTTAGAAAATGATTTACGAATTTAGGCCCCCAATTCAGCAGAACACTTAAGAATGGACCTAACTTTAGTCCCGTTGAAGCCAATATAACTATTCAGGTTTACTCATAAGCTTTAAGTTAGGCAAGTGCTTAAGCAGCTTGTTGAATCAAGCCAATACTCAAGAATGCTTTGTGTGTGTATATCGGTCTATTTTAATGGTTGACCCAACTTACCAAATGAGCCCACTTTATTATTTCAAAGGCAAACAGCTATTTCCTAGTCAGCTGTTCTGAAGGTATGACTGGTATACTGCCTAAGCTTTATTGTAGCTACAAGAACATAAATTTACTAAGAAAATTTGTATGCAACATCTATTATATATAGTGGCTTAGCTCTCCCTTAAATAGTAACAGAAAAGAACAGTACAAAACAATAGTTTCACTTTCTCAACACACAAGAGCATCTTATTGAAAAACTAAAATAAAAAGTATCACCACAATATAAATCCCCAAATAATATTGGAACTTGAAGGGAAGAAGAAAGGAGTTATTAGCAAAATGTCCAGTGGACTTTAAAAAGTCTCTTAACTCAATAAAAGGGTTTCCTGTTGAGCCACAACATTTGTTTTACCTCTGCATATGGACCCACCAGACAAGGGACAACAGGGTCCACAAACTACATGGGGATTTAAAGTAAAAAATAAAATAAAATAAAAAATAAAAATGCAAGCTGCCCCATTTGCTATCCAAGAGAATAAACCCAAAAGGGCGGTCACTGAGCACAAGAACAGAGGAGAGCACAGCTTCTTTGCAGGTGGCAGGAACTGAAAAAGAGGAGAGGGTGGCAGAGGTTATGAAAGAAGTATTCAAGTTGGAACCGTGCTGAAAAGTTCCGTCTTAGAGGCCTGCAAGACATGAACTACTGAAGAAACAGTCCAAAGTTCCCAATGAAAAAGCTGTGACAAGCTGTAATGTGCCATTTCAATTACAAGGAAGAGGGGAAATGTTATTTTTCTGCTCATCAATATGATGAGCTTTCATATCCCAAACCACATTCAGGCAGTTTCCAAGTCTGCTTTTGTTTGTGGACTCTACTGATCCGGACCTAAAAACCAAACCAACTGAACAGGGATGCACGGTTCCTAAGTCCTGGCGGTTTCAACGCTGCCTGTAACAATAGCTGGCTTGGGTTATCCAGAAAGGTGCCTGCAAGAATATGTTCACAGCAGCCTTGCAAGCAGACAAGCTCACAGCTATGTGCTGCCAACATTCTGCCCATCTCCTTCATCATTAGGACCTGAAACAAAGAATGAATCTTGGTTACAAAAGTATCTATTTCATCTCTAAAACTAGTAGTCACCATTTGCAGATGTAGAACTAGAGAAAGAAAATTGGAAGCTGCAGGTCTGCCTCTTATCTACATGCCAGAGGGCCCCACCTCAGAAGCATACAGATGAGTTCCAGTCTTAGAAGTTCACTATGACAGATAAGAATTCCTAGATCAAGGTCTAGGAAATGGCACTGCCCTGTCCTCCCAGCTGCAGCACAAGAGACTTCCTTTATCTGTTGCCTTACCAGTCTCAAAGCGGAGCTGCCATTTAAAATCCAGCCATTGCTAGTCATTATCTGCCCCTTGCTATTTACTGCTGTAAAGCGGGATGCAGAATTGGCAGTAGTAAAAGTAGCCATGGGAAGCCAGGATTGTTCTATTCAAAATCTTGATGACCTTTTCTTGGCAGCACACCCTTGCTCCTCACCAGCCTCCAGTTCTCTTACATTCCCCCCTACACAATAGAGACTGCTCCGAGTCCCTTTTCTCCATATTCTCCTATACCCCGACTCGTCTTTACATGGCCACTGAGCTGCCAACATTTTTCCTGCAGTCAAGTTTGGTGTTCAGCCAGTTGGAAACCATGGAAAGTGGGAAGTATTTTAGTAAGGTCAAAACTGAGAGGTTGGAAACAGAAATAATACCTCATGAAGCCTTTAAAACTCAACAGCAAGTATCAAAAATAGAAAAAAAGGCAGGGATTAATAATTCTGTAACCAGGACAGAATCCCATTGGAAACTTTGTGCCAAACTATGCTGAGAAGTTTTTCAAGAGTTCTAGAAATATGGGACAAATGTGACGTTTTCTACTAGGATAATGGAACTAAATAGTTCTGACCATAAGCACAGTGCATGAAATGGATTCCTACTTAAGTCACAAGTAACTCGTGAGTAACTAGGTAGTTGGGAGAGCAGGCAAGTTTGTCTCTCCACATATTAATGGAATGGGCAGACAGTTTGCTTGATTTAAGAACAAAGTGAAATCAGTACAAAAACTAGAAACATTTGTATATTTTCTTGCTTACCACTTCCAGCTGATCCTGAAGGAGTAATGACATCATCATCATCACTATCTTCCTCATTTGACTGTGATACTTCTGGTTCAGGTGCTGTGCTCTTGGCTTCCTGCTCTTGTTCCACTCTACTCCGCAGAGCCAAGATCCGATGGTGTAATGCAGCATACAGCTGTCCTGTATCTTTAGAACTTGCCTACAGATTATTAAAACATCAAACAAATCCATTTAGAATGTTTTAATAGGCAGTCCCTTATATAGTGGGGGAAAAAAAACAGAGTCCTGTCAAACTTCACTGCTTTGCAATTTCATGTCAAATTTCAGAAGCAGTAGGGCTGGTACTAAGTCAGAGATTTACTGACAGACTGTAGGCGTCAAGGGGTTGGGCATATTCAGTTTCTGGAGAGAAAGATGCACTTTGTGATGATCTCTATCAACTTCCTCTGGCTAACTAGGGGAATAACTGATTTCAGAAGGCGCTATATGACATCCTCCTTCTCCTCCTGAAAGACTGAGACAGAGATAGATGGCAGGAAAAGAAAAGAAAAAAGGGGAAGTTCCAAATCCTTGCCCTGTCCCCCTGCCACACCCTGAATGAGCACAATCTTATTCTGATAAATTTAAGATTACAGGAAGTCTCCAATTTTAAAGAGAATCCCACACAATCTTTCTAGATATGCAGTCAATATACTCAAGATACACATTTTTATTCAAATGACTTACCTGATTATTTTGTTTGAATACAGGACAGGTCTAAAGAACATGACATACAAGGAAAGGTAGAACATACTAGGCTTATTTATCTTGGAGAAGAAGAGACAGCTAGGGGATATGATATCTGAGGATAGGAATTTTGTGCCTGAAAGCCTGTCTAAGGCATGCATGTCCTGGCACAACTGATCAGCTTCATTGGGTGAATAACACATCACCCATTGTCCCACAACATCAATGGGTGGGACAACAGGCAATGTGTTTCTGTTGTAGAGATGCACCCTTGGGCAATCTCTCCATAACCTTTTTTCTTTTTTAATTTCATGGCACCCTAGTTGAGAGCCACTGTTGCACTGCCTCAGTTTACCTCAGTGTTTCTCAACTTGGTGCTGCTGTTGCTGCTGTGGCGGGCCAGTAGGGGGCGCTCCTGCGTTGAGCCGCCCACCTCCCCGCGCCCGACCACCTTCCAGGCTCCGAGTGCCTCCCTCGGGGTGCCTCCCGTCCGGCTGACCCCTTCCCTGGAGCACACCCGCTAGCCTGGGGTTCCCGCTGCCACCATCCAAGGCTCTGGACTCGCTTCTGGCTCTGCGCACCTTGGAGAACACAGGCCTGATCGTCCAATGGGTGCTAGACCCAATACAGGCACTTGGGGCACTTCCCCAAGTCAGGGGCTTATTAGGAAGCCTCCCTTAGTCCACCGACCTAAGGGGCCTCCTTGGCATAATTTAGACCCACCCCTCAATAAGT